TTTTTTTTTTTTTTTTTTGAGAAGCCAAGAAGCGATTTTTGGGGATATTACTGATCAATCAGACTGCGGCTGCGAACGGATCATCAGATGAGAGCGGCTGGAGGAGAAGCACAAACTCACCGGAAGTTATTGAAAAGCTTCGTTGGGCGCCTTCTTTTGTTTTTTTGATTTTTTAAATAATTTTTATTTTTATTGTTGTTTTTGCTGAGCTCTAGCGGCTGATTGTCCAAACGCAATTCTTGTGACATTTGAACGCAACGCCAAGAATTGTGCCTGGACATCTGTTGCTGGACGCTTCCTGTCGCCGCACTTTACTACGAATTCATCTTGAAAAAAAAAACGAGAAAAGAAAACGAGAAAAAAAAAACCATCAACTCTTCATGGCAGGTTGCTCGTTTCAGTTCATTCATTCATGTTATTTTCTGGTGTGTGTGTGTACCGGCCTCACATCACTTCATTTATTTATTAATTTTTTAATTTTTTTTAGTGTTTTTTTGTTGCCTTAAACGGAGAAGCAACGTGTTGATGGAGAAACTCCAGACTCTCCAAACCGATAACGAACTATATGTTCACGTGAGTGTGTGTGTGTGTGTGCTCACTTTTTGCTGCTCTCTGGGAAGCTTTATTGTCGCTCCACCGCTGAGCCTTTGTCGCCACCTTTTGTTGCCGTTTTTTTTTAGGGGGTGGATGGAGATTATCTAATTTGCATAGTTCTTCAGGAATGTATCATTTTAATTTTGTTTAACAAACCGTGACCATTTCCAAGCCCCCGACCCCCTCCCTTCTTTTTATCCCTCAGATAAAAAGCCATTACAAGCCCATAATGACGTGGATCCGTTTGTACCGGATCCGCTGTGGAATCGTGTGAATAATAATAATAATAATAATAATAATAATAAAGAAGCTTCACTGAAAGAAGGCAGAATTTTTTTCTTCTTCTCTGTTTCATGTTTCTCTTTTTTCCCTGTCATTTCTCATTGACATAATCGATGTGCGATTCATTTACATTTTTATTTTATTTTTTGTTCTCATCAAAAACAGTTCATCCAAAGGTTATTTATCTATCTATCTATCTACCTAACTAGCTATCTATCAAATATAAACATACACTTATTGCAGTTTTAATAATACGTTGTATTTTGAACACATTTTCCTTCTGTATATCCGTAAATATTGTTGTTTGTTTGTGTACGTTCGTTCAAATATATACTCTTTTTTTCAAATTTAAATTATATATATTTCAACTTTGACGCTCTTTTTTACAAATAATTACGTACATTAACACGTGTGTTACTTTACGAAATTATTTCATGCGTTAAAATCAATCCTACAAACTGAGAATATATAGAATATTTTGAGTTTATTACGTGATTAATGCTAAAAACAAAACAGTACGTTAGGTTAACAATTAAGAACGCGAACGCGGTTTTTACAATTAAAAATATTCCGTTTCATACTTTTTTAAAGTGTTTGACACTTGGAGGTTATTTGTTGTCATTTTTTATTTTATTAAAAGATACTTTTTAA